AAGACAACGTTTTGTGTAAATTTCTAGTGGCTCACAAGTTATTCGACTACCTTATTTCTTGACAATGGCTTCCTCATCTTCGTCCAAGTATGATGTGTTCCTGAGTTTCCGAGGGGAAGACACACGAGATTCGATCGTCAGCCATTTGTACGCAGCACTTACTAGCAGGGGACTTGTTACCTTCAAAGATGACAAAAAGTTTGAGATTGGCGATCACATTTCTGATGAACTCCACAAAGCAATACAAGGTTCAGATTTCGTTGTCGTGGTTCTCTCGGAGAACTACGCTACTTCCAGGTGGTGCTTGATGGAGCTCCAATTGACGATGAAGCTTTATAGTGAGGGAAGACTTGGTGTTTTTCCTGTCTTCTATGGAGTAGAACCTTCTTCCGTGAGACCATCAGCTTGGAAGTTTCGATCTTAAAAGGTACCAACATCGAGAGATGGCTGATAAGGTTCCTCTGTGGAGACAAGCTCTTAAACTCGTCGCCGATCTTTCAGGCATTGAATCCAAACTCTGGTAAGCTTTTTTTTTTTCCCCCTCAGGAGAAATTACATAAGCAACCAAGTGGTACTGGACTAGTGATTTTGTCTTGTGGAAGATTTGAAGAAAGTTGGAACTGTGTCGTGTCTAATTGGAATAATTCTTGATGTTTATTCATTACATTTGTGTTGGTTTTTCAAATTTTTAGCATTGATGAGGCAGCTATGGTTGGGAAAATTGCCCAAGATATTTCAAGACGCAAGGCATTGATGCGTAATATAGACTTTAAAAGTATTGTTGGGAAGGATACTCATATGCAAGGTCTCAAGTCTCTCTTGGACATGGATTCCAATAATGATGAGGTTCGTATGGTTGGAATCTGGGGAATGGGAGGCATTGGCAAAGTGTCTCTATGGTCAGCTCTCACTTCAGTTTGAAGCTAGCTGTTTCACAGAAGACATCAAGGGTATTTATAGAGACATCGATCTAATGCATTTACAAAACAAACTTCTCTACACTAGCCTCGGTGAGAATATTAGTCTGTGGAGTGTAGAAGCTGGATGCGATGAAATAAAGGCGAGACTTAGGGGCAAAAATGTTCTTCTTGTGCTTGATGGTGCGGATAAAATCTCCCAGGTGCATGCCCTGGCGAAAGAGATAAGCTGGTTTGGTTCTTGGAGCCGAATCATCATAACCACCAGAGACAGAGGCTTGCTCAATAGCTGTGGAGTAAAAACTATTCATGAGGTTAAGTGTTTGGACGATGAGAATTCCCTGCAGATGTTTAAACAAATTGCTTTTGAAGGAGGAAGTCCTCCTTCCGAAGATTTTGAACCGCTCTCAATCCGAGCAGCTCGGCTTGCTCACGGGCTTCCTTCTGCCATTCAAGCCAATGCCTTATTTCTCCGCGGAAGGGACAACTCTCCTGAAGAATGGGAAGAAGCAGTATGTGGACTTGAAAGTTCCCCTGACGAGAATATAAAAGAAATATTGAAACTTAGCTACGAGGGCTTATCAAAACAATATCAGAAAGTTTTCCTTCATGTTGCGTGTCTCTTTAATGGAGAAACTTACCAGCGTGTTAGTTCACTACTCGATGGTTCCGAACATGGGGGATAAGAGTTTTAGCTGAGAAATCTCTCATAGATATTACAGCTCATGGATATGTAATCCTGCATAAGTTGGTCGAACAAATGGGAAGGCAAATTATGCTTGACTGTCAAAAATTCCTTGGGGATCCTGAGGAAATACATAATGCACTGGTTCATGGAGCAGTAAGTATTTACTTTTGTCTTTCGATATGTTCTGCACCTTAGCCTGCTATGTGTTTTTGTTTCTGTTTATGTCAACTTACTTAAATAGTTGATTTTCTTTCACCAGGGTACAGAACTGACTGACTTATGCATTGTCGATGAAGACCAGTGTTCTTAACCGTATGTATAATCTTCAGTTTCTCAAGATCTACAAGCATGTTAATGACAGAGAATCGAGGCTGCAGGTCACTAGAGACGATCATAACCTTGACCTGCCACATAACCTAAGGTTACTCCACCTTGCCTCTCAGGTTCAATCCACTTTTTCTTGTTGAACTCAATCTGCGTCACAGCAATGTAGAAACACTCTGGACTGGAAATCAGGTAACCTAGCTTGCCTATGAGTTTGACCATGTATGTGCGAAATCCAACATGTATTCTTTGTTGTGTTGTACCTTCGGCTTCCTCAGGGTTTCATGAATTTGGAGAGACTAGACTTTACAGGATCTAATAAACTCAAACAACTACCAGATCTTTCATATTACAAGAATCTTGACAGGTTGATTCTAGAACAATGCACGAGACTGAAAGGAATTCCGGAGTCCATTGGATATAAGTCTAGCATACGTAGGCTTAATCTATCATACTACGGTGGGCGTGACAGTCCCATGCGTGTTGGTATAGAGACAATAAATGGGACGCAAGCCACGCATTGTATCAAACTGGTGTTCCCAACAAAAAGAGTGGAGATGGAACTTAAGCACATATCGATCACAGGAGACATTGAATTTCGTTTTTCTGAAAATTGTGAAGGATATGCTGAATACTTCTACATTAGTTCTGAGCAACAAGTCTCTGTTACAACGACGATGAGTGTTCATCTAGCTCCAAAGAGAATGGTCAAACTGTCACCTTTCATAGATTTCCATGTCTGAAAGAGGTAAAACTAATCAACTTAAACATCCAGTTATTGCCTAAAGAGATTGGTCACTTGGAATTCCTAGAAAAGCTGGACTTGAGCGGAAATGATTTTAACTACTTACCAGCAGATACGAGTAGTCTTTCCCGGTTGAAAACTCTGCGGCTTCGAAACTGCAGAAAACTCAAGGAATTGCCCGAGCTAGCTCAGGTGCAGTCAATCACTCTTTTTAACTGTAGATCATTGGTGAAACTCTCTAATGCAAGTCGAGATCCGGGCAGATACTGTTTGCTTGAGCTTTGCCTTGACAACTGCAAGAATGTGAAGTCATTGTCGGATCAGCTTAGTCATTTCACCAAGTTGACATATTTAGATATCACCAACCATGATTTTGAGACACTACCGTCAAGCATCAGAGGTCTTACCTCATTGGTAACTCTCTGTCTCAATAACTGCAAGAAACTCATTTTAGTGGAAGAAGGCCTCCAGTTTCTCTATGCACACGGCTGTGATTCCCTTGAAGCTGATGATGTAAAACATTTTAATGAGACACGAAACAAACAGGTGAATTTTCTGCTCTTGACCCATCTCTACTATGGTTTGTTTAGTTCCTTTATCATCTTCAACCTTTTATAGGTACCGGCACAGACGCGTAGTCCATATTTCCAAGAAACTGACAAAGCCACGAAGAGTCACCTGCTCAAGTTCCTACGCTGCTCCTATTTCTAGTCATTCCTTACGCTTGTTCTTTTCATTTTCTTGACATTTTTAAAGAGTGATTCCACTACATTATTGAACATGGTAGTAAGTATAATTTGAAAAGATAAAGAGTCATTAATCTACAACTACACTAGTTTTAACGCTCAATGATTTTATGTGGGAGTTCTGTCGACTACTATGCTATTTTGTTATTCATCTAAGTATCCCTCAAGAACGCTACAAATTCAAATATCAATGAATTTTTTCATAAGTAAGCAATGTGATTGTTCAGTTTCTATTTTTATCCATAGAAAAGTATTTGTATATAAAATTGTACAATTGGTTTGTTGTAATATACGATTATTTGTCCTTTTTATGTCCAAAGAAAAGTTATTGAAAGGATAAACAAGAGTCATTTACACTAGAGTTGAACACACTTTATTGTGTAACCAGCCAATATACAAGTTTCATGCTTCAACGTGTGCTCAACTCCTTTGAAGATTTTCATAAAAAGGAAGCGAATTTGATCCTGAAACATGAAAAGACTGTCACATCATTTGCTAAAACAAAACCGCATTCTAAGTTTCATTGTTTGGTTCCTCAGAGATTACCGATGTTTTCAAAAGGGTTCACACATTGTGTACTTACGACTTGTAACGAAGATATTCATCAACAGTAGTAGATTTAGCTCCACCATACCAATTAATCAGAAATATATTGACGATTTCGAGTTTGAAGACGCGGAAATCATGTTCCTTAGGCCAATCTGCAACAAAATAAAAACCGATATATATATATAACCGATACACATAATACAAGTATCATGAATCTGTAGCTAACAGGTATAGAGAAACATTTACCCATCATCTCTGGATGCTTTGTGAATAGAGCTTTTTTGGCTACTTTTTCTTCCTCAGATCCTTCATCCAGTGGTAACAACTGAGACATTACGAGATCAAGACCGAATCATATGTAACTAAGCCAGACATTTTCTTGTTAGGTTGATAAGAAAATCTCGGTTTTTTTTGTTTGTCGACATTTACCTTTCCGGTGAGGGTTAGTTTAGAGCAAGTAGGGTCCATTGGATCCATCTTACAAGTTCCAATGGGAGATTCGCTCATTGTAAACGAAGCCCTCGAGTCTTTTAATGCGTTTCTTGTTGTTGGATCAAGAGTGGTCAAGTAAAAGTAAGGTATACCTTTGCCTTCCCCGGGTAGACCGTCACTAAATGATACAACATTCCTGCAAAAACAAGTTTAAAGAGTCCAAGATCTCAATAAATATAGCTATATTGATGATTCTAACAAATAGCACACACTAATGGAAAAAAGTATTATCATATCTTCGAACTATTCTGCAATTTGGGTGATCTATGGATTAAGCCATAAACTGAATTCACGAGATCAAACTGCTCACAAATACCAATTCCCATTTGATTCATGGAAACAAGATTACCCGAAAGGTGCGCCTTGATGCTCAATGGACAATGTGCTGCAAGAAAAATAAAACCACCAAAACGAATTAGTAATCCAGCAATGTTACACTTACAGTAGCTTGTTACACTTACATTGTTATCAACACAAACTCTTGCAAAGATAAGATCTCTGATAACTGTTGTGTGATCAAATCCCAAATCAATTTCAATCTCAAAAGGATCAAGCTTGATGAAGTTAATCCATAGCGAAAACAACGTTGAGCGATACTATTATCAGTGACTGGGTTTCAAATGGTTCTCCTAGTTGATTTCTTGTCAAATCCCAAATCAATTTCAAAAGAATCAAGCTTGATGAAGTGATCAAATCTTTTGTGTCAAAGCCCTTTTCAATTCCACAAATCCATAGCAAATCTCAGCAACTTCAATAACATTTGTGTATAATTAATATATCAATGATTGCTAAAAAGCTACAATCTTTCTGTAAAAAACGCTACCAATAGATAATTGAGAGAAACCCAAATCAATCAACTAAAAATCCCAAATACTACTTTAACCCTCTAAGTTCTAACTGTAAGAAGCTCAAGAATCAAGATAAGTAAAACTTATGGAGGAGACAAGATCTTGCTCTGTTGAAGAAGAAACCGAAAAGTCAATTACCTGAGAACACCCCAAATGTTCTGAGAGACAAGCCAACGAGCACTTGCGGCAACATCATGCCAATCAGGCTTGTCGATTCTAAGAATCCGAGCAGATGAAGAATGTTGTAGAATTGTCAAGAGGAACAAGAATTGAATAAGACGGACTTGAAGTTCCATGCTTTTGAGTTTGCGATTATGACCCAAGCGAAGACGGACTAAAGAAATAGAAAGTCAACTTCACCAGTCCCGATATGGGTTGGGTTGCAACTTTTAAAGGCATTCTTATCTCTTCTTATCTTCTTTGGAGTAAGAGTGTAAGACAAGTCT